AGCTTATTCCTGCCTAGGGCATGAACCCCAGCTATGACGACTATGCTGACTCTGATGAAGATCAGCACGATGCCTACTTGGAACGCATGAAGGAGGAGGGCAAGATCCGGGAAGAGAATGCCAACGACAGCAGCGATGACTCCGGAGAAGAAACCGGTGGGCTGGCCTTGGCAGTGTGGGGGCAGTCAGACTTCCTGGTGGCCAGAGCTGGGTGTCTGGGCAAGGGGGTGGGATTTCCATGGGGTGAAGCTGATGCGTCCTGTGTTCTTTTCCAGATGAGTCGTTCAACCCAGGTGAAGAGGAGGAAGATGTGGCAGAGGAGTGAGTTTTGGTTCCACCTCATGGGGGTGAGGTGGTGGCCTGTGAGCTTAAGGGGACCAGAGGTTTCTGGACATTTATTGTGTCCTACCATGAGCTACTGACCTGAGAGAAAATGTACGTGACTTTCAGTGGTAGAGGGAAGTGTTTTGAAAATGGTCAAGGGCTTTGCAAGTGCAAGTTGCTTTGTGAAGCTAGAAAAGTGTGGTCTGGGAAGGCCGGAACTTTGTGTGTTGGTGTGAGTGGAGAGTCCAGGGATGAGATTGGCTCTAGGCCCTGGATCAGGGTGCCCAGAACCTGTGGGGAATCTGTTTCTGTTCGTTCCGATTTCCTTATTTTGGGGTCGGTTTGCCCCATCTGGTGCCAGATGACCTTTAGGAGCTCTGGGCAGGCTTAATCCAACTAGTTTATCACCCCGGGGCACCCCCCTCAGAGCAGCAGCTGGTGGTTACATGGCCCTTCCGAGGCTGAGTTAGGAGCACGTGCGAAGAACTAGGCCCCATGTCCGCCCTTAGTGCTCGCGGTGGGTGAGCCTGTTCTGAACGGCGGCACGGTGGTTCCCAACCGAGAGTTGGGAGTCTCTTGATCCCAAGGTATTTGGAATAAACGTCGGACAGGAATGAAAAAATAAAGTCGATAGCAGTCCACTCTTTGTGCTTGCCACGTGCTTATTCATAGTCTGTGAGTAAAGACTAGGAAATGTCTGGAAAACGGTTTAGCACCATGCAAGTGTAGGCAGTTCTGTCTTCTGTGAGATTTCTCTGTGTTTCAAATAGGCCTTTAGTTACATGCGTATGTACCGGGTTAGACTAGAGCCGCTTTCCCCAACTTTTTTTTAGTAACTGTCCCTTTACCAGAAAGACTACAGGGTAGAGTAAGATGATTAACTCAAAGGAAGTGATGAAATAGACTTAGGCATGCTGATGAGACAGAATTTGTGTCCCCAGGAGCTTGGGGATGCAGCAGGACCTGCGTGAGGCTGGGACCAAGGAGAGCAGCTGAAGCCCGTTTGTGTTTCTTTGGTTGATTCGCTCAATAGCCCGTTGCTATGGCTGGGTGGTGGAAGCCACCCTAGCACAGGGGAGGAAGCAGAGTTGGGGAGAGTGGTGGAGGCTGTGTGGTCCTCCTCCCATTCTCTTTTCTCAGATGATTTCTTTGGACTTATTTTCTTCCTGTTCTGAGGTCGCAGGGTGCCGTCCTCCCTTCCGGAGTCTAAGCCCCACTCTCCTTGGCAGGTTTGACAGCAACGCCTCTGCCAGCTCCTCCAGTAACGAGGGTGATAGTGACCGGGATGAGAAGAAACGGAAACAGCTTAAAAAGGCCAAGATGGCCAAGGAGCGCAAGAGCCGCAAGAAGCCTATGGAGGTAAGGCCTCTCCTCTGAACAGGAGGGTGCTGGGTGGCCATTCTCTGCCCCGTGTCCACCACCAGTGGGGCCTGTCAACTGGTCCTCCTGGGGCTGATTTCTGTAGCCAGTGAGTACAGCCTTGACAGATTATCTTCTTGGAAATGTTTCTTTCTGATCCTTTACATAATCAGCTTCTGGGAGATCTGAATCAGGAGACCAAAGATGGGCCCCTAATGAGCTGGGCATGGGGGTGCGGAGGGGTGGAAGAGCTGTCCTTAGGGAGCTCTCAGTCCAGCTTGATGCTGTTGAGTCCTTTCTCCACTTTGTGCCCAGGTAGGTGACCCAATAATTGTGTGGGAAGGATGTAGGGGTCTGTGGGATGTAGACAGCTGAAGGCATTTCGGTTGTTGTGTAGGTGAAGAAGGGCAAAGACCCCAATGCCCCAAAGAGGCCCATGTCTGCCTACATGCTGTGGCTCAATGCCAGCCGAGAGAAGATCAAGTCAGACCATCCCGGCATCAGTATCACGGATCTTTCCAAGAAGGCAGGCGAGATCTGGAAGGGAATGTCCAAGGAGAAGAAAGAGGTGAGCAGCAGCAGAGATGAGGGTGGCGAAGCTTGTAACTGATAGAGGGGCGGGGGCCCGTTGTGAAGCTTTTCTGTATAGGTTTTGCCTGCACCAGGGAGGAGACCTCATTCTCTGTTCTGTGTGTGTGTGTGTGTGTGTGTGTGTGTGTGTGTGGCAGGAGTGGGACCGCAAGGCTGAGGATGCCCGGCGGGAATACGAAAAAGCCATGAAAGAATATGAAGGGGGCAGGGGTGAGTCTTCTAAGAGGTGAGTGTTGGGAACAGAATGGCCCAGTAACCGCCCTTTTGGAAGATAGTTTTGCAGGTCCAAGTTGAGAATTGGGGTGTTGAAGATAACAAAGGGGCCTCTGACTGCAGTAGGGCAGTGCTTCTCAAGTCGGGGCAGGCAGTTGCCTGCGTATGGGAAGCGAGCTAGGGGATTCCTGGTCACTGAACAAATATGGCCCATTTACCTAGAGGGTCAGTTTTACTTGAAGGTATAGGACAATTAAAAGTACATATTACTACAGACCATAATTCATACGAGTTTTTAAAGAAAAAGCAGTAGATGTCAAGTAAGTTTTGCATATGACCAGGACATGACCCCTCAGTCTTCTGGTTCCTCAATGCTTTTCCTTGGGGCACTTGGGGCTGACACGGCAGGCCGTTGACTGTAGTGTGATGGGCACCGTGGCTGGGACCTAGAGAGGCCTTGTGAAAGCTGGGGAGGTTTGGCCTTGGTGATGAGGTAACCTGAAGGCCTAGCCCTTTGCCTTCTTGCTAATGTAGGGACAAGTCAAAGAAGAAGAAGAAAGTAAAGGTGAAGATGGAAAAGAAATCAACACCTTCTAGGGGCTCGTCATCCAAGTCATCATCAAGGCAGCTGAGTGAGAGCTTCAAGAGCAAAGAGTTTGTGTCCAGTGATGAGAGCTCTTCTGGAGAGAACAAGAGCAAAAAGAAGAGAAGGCGGAGCGAGGTGCGGCTGAAGTTTGGGGGCTGTGGGGCCTAGACGGGTGAGGGGCATCAGAGATGGGAGACGGCAGATGTTTTTGGGTGGGGTTGAGACCCTGCCGGGGTTTGTGGCTGGTCCCTAAGAGTAGTGGGATGGAGTGGATTGGTGGCGTTCTGGGGCTCTGGAGGCTAGTGCTGGAATTTAGGGACCGAGCTGGGGAACTGGGGGCCCTCACCACTGAACAGTGGCTGTGAGGGCAACCAGGAATCTACCATTTCCCTGAAGAGACATTTGGTTTTCAGGACTCTGAAGAAGAGGAACTGGCCAGTACTCCCCCCAGCTCAGAAGACTCAGCATCGGGGTCTGATGAGTAGACAGGAGGAAAATTCTCCTGGGCTTCTCCGGTCACACCCCCAGTCTCCCCCCCCCCCCTCATGTTTTTGTACCACTTTCTCATACAAAAATGTAGCATTTGGATTCTGTGCCATCTGAACAAGCCGTCCTGGGGCGTGCACTTTGCTGGGACAGCAGGGGAGGCATCTTCCTTGACTGCTGCTTCACAGGGATGATGGCTCTATAGTTTGGGGAGAGACTGGGTGGGAGGCAGGGCAGTGCAAGGATTCAGATCCTCATCCTCCTTTCCCAGCCTCGGGATATAGCTGCTTCTCGTCCTGTTCAAGTTGCAGGGCTTGTGTGAGGTCAGGCCTGTAGCTCCTAACTGGGGCATATTTCTACTTTTATTTTGTATTTCTGGTCTGTGAAAAATAAACATTTAATAAAGGGAACTGACTTTGGAAACCATGTCCATGTGCCTTCTCTCTATCCCTGTTGTGTGGTTCTCACTGTTCTTGGTGGTGTTTACCGCACTGTGGACTGGGCAGGGCCCTGCTGGGCAGCCGGGAAGCCAGTCTTCAGGTACATCCTGTTCTGTTCCCGGCTGGACAAGCATTGGTTTTCACCCTCTTCTGCCGGTATGGGCCACCTGAGAGTCTAGAAATGAGAGCTGATCTGATTAGGCAGTCTCTCTCACAGTTCACTCCATTAGCCAAGCTAAGGGGAGGCAGCTGCTGGCTCCATCCGCAAATCACCTACGAATCAAGGGTCTTCCAAGGCTGTAGATAATGGAATCAGGATTGGCCTCTCTGCAACCAGAATGGAAACCTGAGCCCCGAGAGTTGGGAGGATGAACAGGGTGGGGGGTGGGGGCACAGTCTGATGGGGGTGCAGGAAAGACATAGAGTATGCCGAGGCTTTTGTTCTTCAGGGAGCAAAGGGGTGCACCAAGTTAGAAGAATTTTGTCCGTTGGGAAGCAGACATAACAGAAGATAGGTGGGGAGGATAACTAAAATAGAGCTTCCACTCTTCCTTCTAGTGGCTGCAAATCTGAATTTATACACGTGCGGTGGCCACGTTGCGTAGGCTCCCAGGTGTTTGCCCCAGGAAGTCTTTCCAGGCGGCCAGTGGTTCCCTTCTTTCTCGCCTTGACTCTATGGTGCTTCAATCAGTTCGGGCCGCTAAGCCTGAGGGTTGGGCTGTGCGCCTTAAGTCTCCTCTCTAGCCGGTCGTCTCGGTGGCCATTTTGCCAGGTCGCTATTAACGGCTGAATTGCGTCAGTTTTCAACCCCGTCTGATGTTGGGGCGGGCCCCTTATTTGCGAAGTTCATGAATAATTGAGTACCTGGGCCGCGGCTATTTGCATACAGCCCCAAGAGTTAAGCACGGGCTTCCCGCCCCGGGTTTTCACTGACTCATGGATATTCATGAGCCGCCCTGGGGGTGTGGGCCTGGGCGGGGCTGGGGGCGGGGCCCCGGCGGGGCTCGCAGTGGCTAGGTCCCCGGTGACGGCGGCTGCAGTGGCGGCGGCGGCGGTGGCGACTGCCCGAGCCCGAGCCCAGCGAAGCCAGATCCCGGGAGAGCGTGTGAGTGCGCGGGGTGGGGTGGGGAACGGGAGGGTGAAGGAGGGGGCGGGGTCCAGCATTGGGGGCGGGGGAGAGGCATGGAAGGAGTGGGCGCTTTCCAGCCCGGACCTTGGTTGGGGAGGGGGCGAGGGGTGACCGGGAAAGTTTGCAGGGGCCGGGGGTGCTGAGGGAGCAGGGAGCACGCAGGCAGCGAGGGGCACGCGTGAGCTGGCGCGTGTGCGCGGGGGCGGAGGGTGCACGGCCTGGAGCTCGTGCTGGCTGAACCAGAAGAAAGGGGGAAGGGGCGCGGACTTGGGGCGGGGCCGGGGGCGGGCGGAGCTGCTAGAGGGACCCCTGCCATCCCCTTCCCCCGGGTCCCTGCTAGCCCCCTCCCCCGGATCTCTCGGCACGCCCCCAGCCACCCCAGCCCGCCTCCACCCCGTCTGCGTCCCTATTCCTTCGTCTTTTACCCGGCTGCTTCACATCCTGCTCACGAGTCTTGCGCTTCTGCTGCCCCCTCTTCTTCCTCGTCCTCCTCTTCCACCCCCACCCCGTACCCCACCACCATCTCCACTTCCACCCCTTTCTCCTCCTCCTCCTCCTCCTCTTCTTTGGCTAATGCGTTCCCCTCTGTCCAGAGCTTCCCACTGGGCCCCTCCAGACGGCCCCTTGTCCCAGGCTGTTCTGTCCTCCCGTTGGCCCTCCCTCCTCCAGCAGTTTCTGAGCTGTCCCTGCCGACCTCTCTGGATCCGGATCTGACCGGAGATCCTAAGGTCCGTAGAGACGACCCCTTTTGCCCCGGTCTCTTTCTAGGCCCCTTGCCCCGACTGGAGCTGCCCACCTCTCCCCAGCCCTTGGCAGGCTTTGCTCCGGGGTATCAGCTAGTCTACTCTGGCTCCTGAGGTGGGGAGGGCTCAGAGCCGCTGTGATTCTGCAGCTTTTGGCTACCGACTTGGGCACCTGGATTTCCTGGCACGGGCTTTGAGCTGCTGTGGCACCTCTTCATTTGGGGAAGTGGAGCCCCTGCTTCATGGCTTAGCCCCCTCATACTGCAGAGGTGTCTGTCAGACCCCCAGATGGAAGAGTGTTTAGATTCTGGGCTAGTTCATCCCCGTTTCTAACCACCCACACCATGTTCCTTGTAATAATAATGTTCAAGGACAAGGAAACAATCTTGTGTTTTAATTTTATATTTTCTATCACGTTCCCCTCCCCCACGCACACTTGGACAGGCTCTGCACAATTACTCACCCACCCACAGTGAGCAGTGCTCCGTGGAAGCTGGCTGACCAAGGGAACTGATGGTCTTGGGTTTCTCTTTACTCTCTTCCATCTTTGAAACAAGCTGGGGCAAGGTCAAAGGTGAGGGGTGAGTGGGCTTTGCAAAGGGTGAGCATCAGAGGGCCCTTTTGGGATTTGGTGTTGCCTTCCCAGACCTGCTGGAGTGGGTGGCTCTGAGGAAGGGAGCACCCATTGTGGGTTGGAGGGGGTTAGATCATTCTCGGAGACTCTGCTTACCAGGTGATAGGAAAATCCCCCTTCCTCTAGAACAAGAGGGACCAGGACTCTGTCCCCTGTCCCCGAGGTTGGAGAGTCTGGGGGAGGGGTGTTGTGGGTGGGATGGTGCTTCAGGAGCTGGGATGAGAACTGAGGAGGTGGTGGAGTGTCTGAAGAGCAGGTGACAGGACTGGGCCCTGTGGGAGTGAAAGAATGGTCTGGGGAGAGGAGGAGGTGGTCACCAAGCATGGTAGCTCATTGGTGACACCGAGTGGAATTGTAGTAATAATGGCCAATATTTGTTGGGCATTTCTGCAGTAGGTATTATGCTGAGTGGTTTACTTGCATTTTCTGCTATAAACCTCCCAACAGTCTTGGTAACTCCACTTTTCACGCAGAGAAACCGAAGCTTAGAGAAGTAAGCACCGTGCCTAAGGGCACGCAGCAGAAAGTGGTAGACCCATCTAGCATTGAATCAGACCCCAAGCCTGCTCCTGGTCCCGGCTTAGAGGAGGGACACCCATTGGCTTCTGCCACAGGGCTCTGACACTTGGTTTAAAATTTCTGCCACTCAAAACCCTTGAGGCCAACCCTAGGGTGCTGAGGGCTGCCCGCAGATCCCCAGGTCCTAGGCCGTGGCTGTCGTACCCTGACTGTCCTAGGAGAGGGAACCCCCGGGAGTTTTTCCCTCCAGGCCACCCCACCCCCCGGATGTTCTCAAGCCCTGTCCCATTCTCCCAGCCCAGGCCCGGGGCTCCTCCTTCCTCTTGGCGCCGCTCTGGAAATCCAGTGGGAGGCCATTGCTATGGCAACAGGACTAGGCCCTGGCTTTACCTCATCAAATTCCGAGCTGAAGCCAAAGCAATTGAGAAATTAAAGAAAAAAAAATGTATTCCAGATGTTTACTTCTTATTCCTTATTTTTCCGTGTTTGGATGAGACAGCTCTGAGGGAGGTGGGAGTGGGGCAGGGATGTGGAAGGAGGAGGGGGAAAGTGGGGAGAGGGAACCACTCCCAGCTGCAGGAGGGAGGGAGAGAAGGAGGGTGAGCAGGAAAAGGGAGGCAAGCAGTTGAGGCGGAGCCCCAGGTTGGGGAGGAGCGGGTTTTTCCCGTCTCCCTTGAGGTGATTCATGAAGAGGCAAGACTTTAGGGCCTTCTTGTTCTGCCCCTGAGTAGATACCTCTAGCGGGGCTGCTGCACCCAGGGGTGCCCTGGGAACAGTAACTAGGGTGTGTTGGAGAGCTCTCCAGGGGAGGGAGGAGTGGCCAGCTCCCTGCAGCTCCAGGACTTTGGGGTTAGGAGACAAGAGCTGGAGAGTGATCTGGGAAAAGTCGAGGGTAGGCTTTTGGGGACCTCCCTTGACCTCCCCACCCCTTCTGAAGTTCCCTCTTCCTGTTCCACACTCTCCCTCTGCTAGAAGTAGCAGACTTCCCCCGGCCAAGGCTGCTGCCAACGCCCAACGCTCTTGCCTTCTCTCTCTTCTCCTGGGCCTTGGGCCACCCCAGCTCACACCCCTCTGCTTCCCAATTCTCATGCAGGTCCTGCCGCATGTGATGAAAGTGTCTGCTCTCAGGGAAGGCACAGCCATGGCTTCCCCACCACCCCGGCAGATGGAGGAGGAGCTGGCAGCTGCTGGCTCGGAGCCAGGTAGGTGCCTGTGGGTGCAGGGTGACGTGGGGTGTCTGAGAGGACGGTGGAAGGGGCTGAGCCCCCATTCTGTCTTGGAGAGGGGTGGCAAAGGATGGTTCTGTTGGGTTGGGAATGAGGGAGGAGTGCAGAGAATGTGCAGGATGAGTTTGAGAGAGTGAAAATTTCTCAGTTCCTGGTAGGACCCTTCAGAACTGTTCGAGGTCATAAACCTCCCACAGATAAAGAACAGGCTAACCTTCAGAATGATGTGGGGAAAGCCGAGTGTTTTTAAGAGGAGGAGAGTGGGGCCTACACGAGTAATGAGGTGTACCTATGGGGGTTTGAATCCAGGCCTCCTGGCTGCTGTCTAGACTCCTTGCTTAGTCTGAGCCAAATGAGTGGGCGATGGAGGTTTCTATTAGAAGGGCTGAGTCCATGAGTAATTCTAAGGTCTTTTATTTGGCTTTGGAATGCATTATATATATAGAAGGTAGGCTCCTGGTCTTGTTTTTTTCCCCCGTGGCAGATTTATATACTTTTGTGTGGGTTAGGTCAATAGTGAGTTTGCATTCCTCATCACACACCGGATGGCAGTACGCAGGTGGCCTGGGTGTGTAAGCGAGGGTGGGGCAGCCAGGAGGTGGAGTGGCGAGACTCACCTGGGGTAAAAGGGTTGCTGTGGGTGGTTGGACGGAAGAGTGTTCTGTAAGAGGACAGGCCCGGACTGGGGAAATGTGGGGCTGAGTGCTTGAAATGGGCAGGCAGGCATTTATTTATTGGCTTATTTGCTCATTCATTCATTTGCTTGACAAGAACATGTGTTAGATGCAAAGTAGGGTACAAAGAAAAACAAGGTGCCAGCTGGGCCCTAAAATAGCTTTAGCTTTTAAGAGGAATTGACTAAACATTTTGGGAATTTGGAGACAGGAGAAGATGCTTCTGGGCTGTGTAGAGAAAATGAAGGAAGGCTTCATGGAAGAGGTGCCTAGAAGGTTGTCAACAGTTTGAGTTTATAGGGTGGTAAGTAAAGTTCTGCTTCCTGGTTCTTCTGACACCCTCCCAACCAACTCTTTTCTTTTGGTAGGTGACCCTCGGGCCAAACCCCCGGTCAAGCCCAAACCTCGGGCCCTGCCTGCCAAGCCGGCCCTGCCTGCCAAGCCTGGCCTGCTGGTGTCTGTTGGGCCACGGCCTCCCCGGGGTCCCCTGGCAGAGCTGCCTTCTGCCCGGAAGATGAACATGCTGGCGGGACCCCAGCCCTATGGTGGCAGCAAGCGTCCTCTTCCCTTTGCTCCAAGACCAGTGGCTGAGACTTCTACTGGAGGAGAAGCCACCCGAGAGACTGGGAAAGAGGAGGCTGGGAAAGAAGAGATGCCCCCCTTGACACCCCCAGCTCGATGTGCCGCACCGGGGGGTGTGCGGAAGGCCCCCGCCCCCTTCCGTCCAGCCTCAGAGCGCTTTGCAGCCACCACGGTGGAAGAGATCCTAGCCAAGATGGAGCAGCCGCGGAAGGAGGTCCCCGCCAGTCCTGACCGCCTCTGGGGCTCCCGCCTCACCTTTAACCACGATGGCAGCTCAAGATACGGTCCCAGGGCCTATGGCATGGCTGCTGGTCCCATGGATGAGGATGGTGGGGCCCTCTCCAGGGGATGGTCCCAGGAGGGGCCTTCAAAGCCTCCCACAGAGTGCCCAGAAAAGCACAGCCAGACCCCCGAGGAGAGGTGAGGGGTGGGAGGCTGTATGTTTTGCGTTCTGGAGGACGAAGTGGGTGTCCCCATGTGGGACTGCGACCTTCACTTTTAGGTTAGTTGTGTGCTGTGAGTGCGGGCAGACCCTGCTCTCAGTCACAAAGCTTTCTGCCAGTAGACAGTGTTATGACTATATTCTCTTTAGGATTGTAATTTTCTTTATGGAGTTGATGTGTATTTATGATAGAGTTTAAATGCACAGTATGGATGTTTATTTTTTTTTTCATACGAAGAGCTGAATTTTGCCTCTTTTAACCCACAGCCATCTGTTTAGTGAAGAGAATATTAGATCTATTTTAGAGATGAAGCCCTGGCTGGTGTGGCTCAGGGGGTTGAACATCAGCCTGCGAACCAGAAGGTCGCTGGTTTGATTCCCGGTCAGAGCACATGCCTGGGTTGTGTCCCTGGTTGTCAGCACACACGAGAGACAACTGACTGATGTTTCTCTCCCTCTCGTTCTCCCTCCCTCTCCTCTCTCTAAAAAAAAAAATAATAATAATAATTAATTATAAACAAAGAAGTGAGGAAACAGATTCAAAAGTGACTCCCCATGGGTCCTTGGCAACAAGGACAGGGGTTTGACTTCAGGTCTATTGGATTCCAAAGCATATGCTCGTAACTGCTCGCTCCTTCTGTGTGCGGAGCAGTGTGCCAGGTGCAGGTGTGTGTGTCAGGATGAGAAGGGCACAGTCTGCCCAGTAGGAGTCTGATGGGAGAGATAAGATGTGAACACACCTTGACACCGGGCCAGCTAGTGTCACAGAGCAGAGATTACAGCCAGGTTGGAGACTGTTGCATGTAAACCCTTCTCCAGCGCTGGTGCCAGTGTGAAGGAAGGCTGGCCTGGACCTCTTGGGGTGGTGGGCACAGGGCCTTGGAGGAAGATGTTGAGGGGTCTCAAGTTCTATCAGCTGCACAGAGGCCATCCCCAAGGCAGGGAGAGCCCTCTTGAGGCACTTCGGACCCCTAGGCCCTTGGTGGCTGTGCTGGGCCAAGCGGCTCCCCTCCCTCTCCTGCTGCTGGCAAGGGCAGGGCTGCCATGGAGTGAACCTAAGGCCTAAGGCCTCTGCCCTACCCTGCCCTCCAGCCTTGTCCCTTTCTCACCGGGAAGTACCTGGAGGGCAGGGCTCCCAGTTAACCCTTCTTTGTCCCAGGGCTCCAAGCTGAGAGCGAAAGAGGAACAACTTCAGCCTTGGAAAATCACTCTTCCCCCTCTCCCTCCCCCTGCGATCCTTCTAGAAGTATTGGCAGGGCAGCCAGACCAGCTGTGCTCTCCCTGGCTGGTTAACTCCTGAGGGGCTAGGGGAAGGAGGAGTTATCTTTTAGGGGTCTGGGCTTGCAGGATGCTTGTTCTAAAGGGACTAGGGGAGTTTAACCCTTGATGTGCAGGCAGGGAATGGGCACTCTGTCCTGGTACATATTTTCTGCGAAAACCATACAGCTTCTCTGGTCCAGTGGTTCTAGGCAGGGCTCAGTAGAAAATGCCTTGGAAGGGGGGCGGTTAACTTTGGGTGCTGTTAAGTCAGTCGGGCAGATTCTTATCAAAGAGCTCTGTCCCTTATTCATCTACTACTGGCTTCTTAATTCTGTGCCTCGATTTCCTGTCTTTCTTCCTCCCAGGAGCCCCGCTTTGGACCGGGCCTTCAACGGGGACCTCTCGCAACCCGCCAGCTCTGAGCCACTTACTGATGTGAGTTGTCCCCCTGTTATACATCGAGTCATGGAATTGTAGAGCCGGAAGGGCCATCTGAGGTGGCCTCTTCTATCTCTCTGTAGTTCAGAGGGGGGCGCCGAGGGTCCTGGAGGAGGTGACTTGCCCAAGGGACTCTGAGGCCAGTGCTCTTGATCAAGTGTGGTTCCGGCCATGAGGCTGCTCGCTATCAGGAGTAATTACCCATCACAGTTGCCATTGATCAAGTACCTACTGTGTGCGGGGCCTGTTCCTGGAACATTGACTAACTTAATCCTAGTGATCACTTAAGCCTAGTAGAGTCTGTTGGTCCCACGGGAGAGGTGAAGATGCCAGAGCTCACGGGGATTAAGTAATTTACCCAGGGGCGGAGGCAGGGTCCTGGTTGTCTGACTCTGGTGCTCTCCTGCCTGGGCTGCCTTCTCAGGGTGCTGGGGAAAAGTCCCTCTTTGGGGGTTTTTGTTACATCCCCAGCACAGAGTGCTGGGAGCATAGTCAGCCTGCTCCCCTGAGTCACTGAGCCCTTCTTGCTCGTAGAGGCTGCCCCATCTGCCCAGTGGTGGAGACCTGACTCCGTTCGTCCACCCAGCAAATATTTACTGAGCACCTGCTCTGAGCTGGATGCTGGGGAAACACCAGAGAGCAGAGCACGCGCCATCCCTGTTCTCTGGGAGCTCCTCTTCCAGGGCGCGAGCCAGCATGAGCCTGGTCGTACCTGTGAACCAGCAGATGTGTAGTCAGACAAGTGCTGGGAGACCGGAGAAGGGAGAGAGGACTGGGGTGAGGGCCGGTGGGGAAGGCCTCTCTGAACAAGGTGAGGGAGGGAGCCGTGCGGATGTTTGGAGGAGAGCATTCTTGGCAGAGGCAGCCACAGGGACAAAGGACTTGGTGCCTCCCTGGCTGGGAAGCCAGGCTGTCTGAGTCAAAGTGACAAGGGAGGAGCTGGGTGGTAGTAGTGAGTATTGAGAAGCGATGAGTGAGGAATGGAGCCTCGCCGGCCAGTGGGAGGTCCTTGGCTTGAGAGAGGGGCAGGAGCTGTTGAGCGGTTTGAAGGAGAGGTGTAAAGAGTCCCCTTGCCCTTTTGGTTGCAGGGAGCTAAAAGCAGCAGCGGGGGCCCACTGGGGGGGCTCTTGGAATAATCCAGGGGCGAGGTGATGGGCCCTGGAGGTAGCCTGTGCCGGGATGGTGAGACATGGCCGCTCTGGGTAGAAATTGAAGGTGAAGTTGAGGACAGGATGTGCAGACAGATTGATAGCAGAGAGAGGGAGTGTGAGCAGGTGCGCATGCAGAATCAAGGATGCTGCCAGGGCCTTTGGCCTGAGCCACCGGAAGGATGAGGTTACCGTTTAGTGAGATGGGGACTTCTAAGGGTGAAGCAGATGGAAGGAGATGTGAGGAGTTTGCTTCGGGAGTCACTGAGTTTGAGGTGGCCTTATAGACAGCCTCATAGAAATGTCGAGTGGGCAGTTGACTATTTCAGTCTGGAGTTCCAGGGACTCGTCTGCACACAGATGGTAGCGAAGACTGGCTGAGATCACCAGGGGAGTGAGTGGATGCGGCACCGGAGGAAAGAGGACCCAGGCACAGCCCGGGAGCCAGGACAGAGCAGCAAGCAGGTGGGAGGGAAGCTGGCGAGGGCGGAGTCCTGGAGGCCAGAAGAAGCCAGCTTCCAGGACTGGAGGAGGGCAGATCAGCTATCAGGTGCTGCTCACAGGTCAAGGAAGGTGAGCACTGAGAAAGGTACTTGGCTATAGGGAAACATTGTAACCTCGCAGTTAGGTGGCGAGGTGAAGAAAGCAGCCTGTGTGGGGCGGGTTCTCGAGAGAATTGGGACAAAGTATGGGGACAGATGGTGAATGTAGACAGTGTGTCCAGGAAAATGAGTGGTAGGTAGAGGGAGAGGTAAGGGCAAGAGTGTTTTTCTTTTTTTAAGGAGGAAGAAATGAAAACAGTTTGTGTGCTGATGGAAATGGTCCAGGAGAGGAGGAAAAATCAGTGGTGCCGGAGAGAGAGGAGGGGTTGTTGGCCTTAGTCCTGGGCAAGGGCAGTTCACGATCTGGTCTCACATCAGGCGGTGGGCTCTGGCTGTTTCCTCCCCGGCCTCTGTGTTCCCAGGGAAGCTAGGTGGGCAGCTGAGATGAGGGGGTGGAGGTGCCTGGGGTTTGAGGAGACAAGTGTTGCCTGGGAACCTTTGGGAGCAGTGTGTCAACAGGCTAGACAGACAGTAGGATGCAAGAGGGGGTTGAGGGTTGGGAAAGGGACTGTGATGTTGGTAGAGAGACATGAGGATAGGAGGCGACTGGGAGACAGTGAGAAGGAGGGAGGGTTAGTGGCCATGCTTCCCACAGGTGTTGAAGGACTGAGGGGGGGCAGGGAGGGTGGAAAGATGGACCTGGAGAGACAAGAGGTGGGAGTGGGTGAGGGGAGACTTGAAGGTGAGGTCATGGAGGGCTGCAGTTGTGAGTAAGGACGGAGTCACGGGAGAGGCGGGTCACAAAGTCCTCAGAGAAGGAGAGGTCAAGGAATTGAGCCAGGATGCTGGGAAGCTTGACTGAAATCGCTGAGGACCACGGCAGGGGTGGTCCTGGGGGCGCCGCAGTGATCCGGGGCCTACACTTGTCAGGGCTCGAGGGGTCTGCAGGGGCCCCAACAGGAGGGCGGCGGGAGCTGTAAAGCTAGAGCTTTGTAGATAGGAGGGAGTGGGAGGGGCCTTGAGAAGCGAGCAGGACGTGCCTTCCTCTGTCCAGGCCTGCAGTCCCATAGAGGGGACAGCAAGGGAAGTGTGACCTCTGGGGAGGGCAAAGGTCAGACAGAGCAAGACTCACTTCTCGCCTGGGGCTAGGCCGAGTGGAGCAGTGAAGGAGTGCCAGCTTCCTGGTGCCCCTCTACTCCCCTCCTTTCCCACCCTTCTGCCCCCACCTCCCCCAGCCCTCATCATCTGCCTGCACCCTAGTCCTCCCCTTCCCGCATCGTCCTAGAGCATCCATTCTTTGCAAGTCCTGTCCCGAGAGGGGCCGTGTACACAAACCTTACTTCCCCTCACCTAACTCTGTGAGAGGGACATTGCTGCCACCAGCCCCAAAGGACTGAAGGGGAGAGAGGCTGAGGCTCAGAGAAGCCAAGTGACCACCATCTGGGAGAGCTTACAGCCCACGAGAGGCAGTGCCAGATGCCTCCAGGCCAGGGGATCTCACGCCTCCCAGTGCCTTCGCCCGAAGCTCGAGGCCTGCCTGCTTCCTTGGGCAGCGCTGTGACCTGCGGGTGCACAGAGCAGGGTGGGCAGACCCACCTCCCCACCCTCTGCAGCCTCTACTGTGCGGGGCTTGGAGTCCTGCTCTGAGGTGGGACCCCTGCCTGCCCGGGTGGTCAGATTCCCAAATTTCCTTTTCTCTTTATAAAGCCAGTATTCTTGACCGTGAACCATGGACTCAGGAGATCCTTTGATGGGCTTTGGGTTGGGTAGGTGGGAGGGTTTGAGCCACTTGAAGTGGTGTGGGTCGTGTGTGAGTAGGGCCACTTGTGTTTTTCTGGGGAGAAGGCCTGAAGGAGGGGTCTGAGAACTCCGAGAAGCTTAAGAAGCCCTGGGCGCCCTAACTAATCTTTCCCAGCTGTCCTGAGAGACACCCCAATTTTCTCCTCCTGTCTGTGGAGGGAGAGTGTGAAGGAGCAGCTGACCTGTGGTCCGTATCAGGTTGCCATGGGCCTCCCCCCGCCCACCTGAAGGTGAATGATGGCTCTTGACCTTTCTCTTGCAGGTTCCCAAGCCCTGGGTCTCCTCAAGTCCAGGCCCCACCTCAGAGAATGGAGGGTCCACCAGCCCAGGCCTTCCTGCTGAAGTCTCCGGCTCAGCCCCTGGCTCTCCCAGACTTCACTCACCCGACGGGAGCTCTCCTCGCCGTGCGCACCTTCCAGAAGTCCAGAGTCCTTTAGCCTCCGGGCCTTCTCCCTGCCTGCCCGTGACTTCATCAGCCCCGGCTGTAGCCCTGCCTGACGAGGGCTCCTGCCGTGCCCCTAGCCCAGGGCTCCCTGCTTGGGGTGCTCCAGAGGCTCCCAGACCTGGCAGCCCTCCAGTGGAGAAGGTCTTGGGGTGCCACAGCCCAGAGCAGCCTCTAGTCACCTCGCCCCGGCCCCTGAAGGAAAGGGGTGAATTGCTCGATTCTGATCGGACGTTTCCGTCTGGCGAGGAGGCGGCCAGGGCTGACACCAGCCTCCGCCCCACCAGCCTGGCTCAGCGCCGGTTTTCCGAAGGTGTGCTCCAGCCGCCTAGCCAAGACCAGGAGAAGCTGGGGGGCTCACTCGCTCACCTGCCCCAAACCCAGGGGAGCCAGTCAGCCCTGGATCATCCCTTTGAAAGTGGGACAGAGTCCAACTGGAGCTTGTCTCAGTCCTTTGAATGGACCTTCCCGACTCGGCCTTCGGGTCTAGGGGTGTGGCGGCTGGACTCCCCACCCCCCTCCCCTATCACCGAAGCCACTGAGGCTGCAGAGGCCGAGGCTGCCGAAACTGGGGCCACTGAGGCACCTGACTGGGCTGCATCCAGTAGAGAGGGAGTGTCCCAGCAGGGGCGAGAGGCCCAGTCCACTCCAGAGGGACCAGAAAGACCTGGTTCTGGGGTGCAGACAGAGGATTCAGGCATCTCCCCAACCCAAAAAGGTGATGGGGAGAGTCAGCCTCCATCCCCTGCTGTTCCCCTCAAGCCTCTGCCAACAATGGGGGACACACCTGAACCGGCCTTGCTGCAGGCAGAGGAGAGATATGAGGAGCAGGAGCCCACAGCCGGACAGGAGTCCCTGCTCCCTCTGGCCACTGGGGAGGCTGCCCGGCCCCTCCTGGAGCCAGTCCTGGGGCAGCAGCAGCCAGCACCCCCTGATCAGCCTTGTGTCCTCTTTGCTGACACTGCTGACCCTGGGCAGGCATTACCTGCTGAGGAGGAGACTCTGACCCTGGCCCGGGCTGAGACTACCCAACCCAGAACGGAGGCTCAAGACCCCTGTAGCAGCTCCCGCTGGCTGGACGACCTCCTGGCTTCGCCGCCACCCAATGCTGGCAGTGCACGGCGGGGAGCTGGGTCTGAGCTGAAGGACACACAGACGCCAAGTGCCTGCTCTGAGGTGAGGATGGGAGCACCGGGGGTTGGGGGCCAGGGCTTCAGTAGTCTTCGTTCTCTCAGCGCGGACTTCGTGTCCAGAACTAGGGGCACAACTGTCAGCAGGGCACCTGTGGACACGCTCCTCACGGTTGTGTGGTCTAGCAGTGCTGTGGGCAGGGGTTGCTGGACGGTGCTTAGGGTCTGGCCAGAGGTTCTGTCTGATTGCAGCATCTACTGGTTGAGTGGTTTTGGGAATGTGCTCTCACTTCTAAGCTTCAGAGTCCTTTCATAATGACGTTCTCCTCTTAGGGGTTGTACTGCAGGTAAAGTGAGATGTGGACTGTGCCTAGTGTGTGGCGTCCACTGAGTGCTGGGAAGGGCAGCGGAGCCCAGCGCGTGGAGGTGGGTGCTGGGAGCAGGTGGCCTGGGTTCGGCTGGGCTCTGCTACGTGCCCAGGTGTGCCTTGGAGCAAGTTACTTTTCTGCCTGTGCCTCAGTGTCTGTATCTGTAAAATGGGAATAACTCTACCTCATAGGGTGATTGTGAAGACTAAATGAGCTGTAGTACTTGTAAAGTAGTGCCAGTGGCACCTGGCTCATTGTGAGCGCTTGGTAAGTGTTGGCTTTTATGAGCGTTATTGCCGTTGAGCTCCAGACCTGCCTGGTGCACAGGCAGCCAAGGCCCAGAGCTGGCAGAGCCTGTGCAAGGTTACCCAGCAAGTTGGCAGCTGGGCTTGGGCCCAGTGCCCTTTCTCCTACCGCGATGACTCTGATTTTGAGGGCTGGGGTCCAGGTGCCTTTTGAAATGTGTTTTTCAAGCCCAGCCTGGGCTGGTAGGGGCGGAGCTGGAAGGAAGGAGGAGCCAGGAGCCTCTGAGGGGAGGGAGTGTAGGAGGAGGAGCAGGAAGGAGTTAAGAACGGCTGGCTCCTGCAGTAGGTGTGTCTGTCCCGGGATGTGGGTGACTCAACTGGCTTCTGGGCGGGGCCACCGGAGCTGCAGCTGCTCTTGAGCCAGCGGTGCCAGGGTGAGCCCCGAGCCAGAGCGGTCAGACAGGTCCCGGCGAGGGGAGCGGCCCAGCCCTGTTCCCTGCCTGCCGTACCCAGCTGCCTGAGGCGGGTTTGGGGGGCAGGGACCATGGCCGGGCTTGGGGATGGGGAGCACAGCATGTCTATTTTAAAGAGGCTGCTGGCCAACGCGGAGCTTCGGGATGAGGCTGGCCGCCTTCGCAGCCCTGCGGCCAGGGCTCGCCTGCCCTCAGCAGTGAGTCAGGGAGTATGGGGTGTGGGTTGCAGGGAGCCCTGGCGGGGTCTTTCCCCTGTGCCAGAGCTGGCTGTCCCCTCTCAGCACTGCACCCTGCCCCCCTCATCCCCTAGGGCTGAGGGATGGCTGCACTGGCTTCCTGGGGAGGGCTGGGCAGAGGGTGCTTTCCTTAGGGAGGGAGGGGCTGGGAGCTCCGGGGGGAGGGGGGACTGGACCGGCGAGGGTGGTGCTGGGATCTCACTGTGGGAAGGAGGTTGTGGAGGGGCCTTGAGTCTTATCCTCTTCTAAAGAAAGTGCCCCACACCCCTGTGAAGACCACTCTGCCAGGGCAGGTAGCCAAGTGTTGCCCAAGGGCTGTAAACATGACCTCAGGGTCATCGATTGAGTACTGGTTGCTGTTGCTGGGTGCTCCTTCTGTGCCTGGCACTATGCAGAGAACTTGGCGCCAGTGATCTTGTTTAATCCTCCCTAACTGCCCGTGCAGTAGGAATTATCCCTGTCTAAGGATGAGGACCCTGAGGCCCAGAGTGGTTAAGTGATTTGCTGAAGGTCACACAGCTGGGATACAGACCCAGGCATTCTGTTGCCAAAGTTCAACTCTCAGGCGACAGACGGTGCTGACTCTCATTCTAGATTAACTCTAAGCTCTGTTTCTCTCTCTTTCTCTCTGATTCTCAGGGACTCCTTGGCTGGGCCCAGAGAGATCTGCAGAGTGAATTTGGGATTGCAGCGGATCCGCAGCCCAGCAGTTTTAGCCCTTCCAGCTGGTGCCAAGACACTTCTCAGGACTATGGCCTTGGGGGTGCGAGCCGTAGAGGGGACCCAGGCCTTGGACAGAGGGACTGGTCCAGCAAGTGTGGGCAAGGAGTGGGAGAAGGGAGCACCAGAGACTGGGCCAGCAGGTGTGGCATCAGCCGTGAGGAGCTGGAGGTCAGCAGCCCGGATGGGAGTGCAGTGTCTGCCCCAGGGGGACTTGCAGCCCAGGACCGGGTGATTGGAAAGCCAGCCCCACTTGGCACTCTGCAGAGCCAGGAGGCGGATGTTCAGGACTGGGAGTTCAGAAAGAGGGATTCCCAGGCCGCTTTCTCCAGCCGCGACGCGGAACTCCAGGACCAGGAATTTGGGAAAAGAGATTCGCTGGGTTCTTACAGCAGTCGGGATGCGAGCCTTCAGGACTGGGAGTTTGGGAAGAGAGATTCTTTGGGGGCTTATGCCAGACAGCAGGCAGATGAACAGAGCCAGGAAGGGGCGGAGAAGGACCACCTCAGCAGGTTCAGCAGCCAGGATGCTGACGGGCCGGGCCAGGAGTTTGGGAAGAGAGATTCGTCACTTGGCACCTATGGCGGTGGGGGTTCTGAGCAGCCAGACCAGGATTTCGGAAAGAGTGCCTGGATGAGGGACTACAGCAGCTGTGGCAGCTCTGTGGCCCTCGGCCCCCAGGACAGAGGCTTCGGGACGAGAGCCCCGAGTGCTGGGTTCAGCCCTGAGGAAGCCCAGCAGCAGGATGAGGAGTTTGGGAAGAAAATTTCGAGTGGAGGAGATAGCCTGGGTGAGGCCAGCAGGGATGCAGGCCATCCAGAGGAGATAGAGTCGAGGGGCTTGTTCAGCCCCAGCACCCCCCAGTTGCAGGATGGGGCACTGGGGCAGAGGGGCCCGAGCAGCTGGCAGGACAGCGGTGCCAGCCAGGAAGTTGGAGGGCCGCAGGAGAGACGGCCGGCCGGGGGCCAGAGCCCGGGTGATGCTGACCTGGGAGGCAGGGAAGTGGGGCAGCAAGGCTGGCCTGGCGACATCAGCCTCAGTGTTGCGCCCCAGCCAGCGGTGGCCTTCAGCCCAGGGCAGCGAGACTGGAGCGGTGACTTTTGCACGGAGGCTGCTGAGAGAAGCTATCAGTTTGGCATCATTGGCAATGACCGAGTGAGTGGTGCCGGTCTGAGCCCTCCCGGCAGGATGGAAGGTGGCCACTTTGTGTCTCCTGAGAAGACCTCGGCTGGGCCTGTGGACTGGACTGACCAGCTAGGCCTCAGGAACTTGGAAGTGTCCGGCTGTGTGGGTTCCGTGGGCTCAAGTGAGGCCAGGGAGGATGCCGTGGGACAGATGGGCTGGTCGGACAATTTGGGCTTGAGAGACGTGGACCTGGCCAGCTGTGCGAAGACTGGGGGGCCTGAGGAGCCCAGGGGGATGGGAGTTGGGGAGAAAGACTGGACTTCTGATGCTGGGGTGAGGGGCAGAGATTTGGCTGGGGTCGGGGAGGAAGGAGGCCACAACCAGGCCAGAGAGAGTGGCGTGGGGCAGACCGACTGGTCAGGTGTGGAGGCTGGACAGTTCCTTAAATCCAGGGAGCGTGGAGTGGGCCAGGCAGATTGGACACCAGACCTGGCTCTGAGCAACATGGCCATGGGGGCAGGTAGCGGCTCCAGGGAACTCGGGGTGGGCCAGGTGGACTGGGACGACAGCCTGGGCCTGAGGAATCTGGAGGTGGCCTGTGACCTAGAGGCCGGCGCTTCTCGGGAGCCACGGGGATGTGGAGTGGGGCAGACCGACTGGAGCCAGGACCTGGGGCTCCAGAGTATGGGGCTCTCTGGGGCCCCGAGTGAATCCAGGGAGCACGGGGTGGGAGAAGTCAGCCAGTGCCCAGAGCCAGGTCTTGGGGACACTGGCACGTTGAGCCCTGGCTTGGAGGCCAGAGACCCCATGGAGGCCAGGGAGCTGGGGGTCGGTGAGACAAGTGGGCCAGAGACCCAGGGTGAAGATGACTCCTCACCGTCCTTGGAGACCTGCCCTGAAGGTCCCGGAATGGACACAGGAGAAGCTCCCGGCTTCGGAGCCAGGTAAGGGGAGCCGCCCCGTATGGGAGGGAAGGTGGTGCTGGCGGTCTGAAGGCTTAGAACCGCTCTGGGGAGAGAAGAACCAGCTTTCCCCACGGAGTTTTACTCTTTGGGAAATTACGACAGTTTCAGTTGTGAATTTTTATTTTTACTTTTTTAAAAACTGAACTCTGACATGCACTCAGGTTGAGTTCCTGCTTTGAATGAGTGTGTCGTGTGGAGTGTGACTCTTTGCAGCCCACGCCTTAGGCTTCCTTGGTGACGTTGTACTGGGACGGGGCCGGAGGAACTGGAGTGGCACATGTCACATCTTTGGGTGGGTTCCACTCGAGCACAGTGGCTGCTGCACAGGCCTCTCAGCTCTGAAGCCACAGGTGCTCCTGGGCCAGGGACCATGGATTGCTTCCCTGGTCCTGCACGGATGCAGGAAGGAACACTCTTTGTTCTTGGCCTTGGCCACTCCAGGTCCGGAGTGGAGTGCACAGTGGCACTCACTGTCTCTCAGGGGGTTAGGAACATGGTGCTTCTTGCCTGCCCTGTGTTCATGGCTAGAAGAAGCAACAGTTTAAGAACCTGAAGGACATGGGACCTGGCCCCTGGCCCCTCCCCCACACAGTTGCTGAAAAAGAACTTTCCAGAGGAACACACTGGTAATTTTGCCAGCCAACCACAGTCTGTCTCAGGGATTTTTATGTTCTAAAACCGATCGAGCTGATTTCTTGCCTGGAAAGGGTACAAAAAGGCATTGTATTGTATGTCTTCCGTTAACATTTCCCTCCACTGAGATTTGCATTCGTCGTCTTGACTGAGTAGAAAGTTTGCCCTTTCCCAACCCTGGAGCTTCTCACCTGCCAAGGAGGAAGGGAAGGGGAGGGAGGTGTGGGGCAAGCTGTGTTGTAAGCAGGGGGGCTGACGGTAGTGGGAGGGGGCAGGAGGGACCAGGGAGGGTCTAGAGCAGGGGTGTCCAACGTCTTGGCGTCTCTGGGCCATGCCGGGAGAAGAAGAGTTGTCTTGGGCCACACATTAAACACACTGTGACACATAATGACCAAAAAAATCCCTCTAATGTTTTAAGTAAATTTACAATGTCGTGTGGGCCTGTATTCACAGCCAACCTGGACTGCATGTGGCCTGTGGGCTGTGGGTTTGGACACCCTTGGTCTAGAGGGAGTTGGGGGGTGGTGGAGGTGTTGAGAAGGCATTTGGGTTGAGGAGAAGGAGAAGAAAGGGTGATGGGGCCCTGATGTTGCCCCGGGGAGCTGAGGAGGGAGTGTTCTGGGGAACCCCAGCTGTGGAGTGGGAGATGGGGGAGCCTGGGTCCGAAGTGAAGACTGTAGGGACAGAGCTGAGTTCACAGGCCTGGGAGTCCAGAGGCTCCTGGGTCCCTGGGCCTCTCTGAGCCTCACACCCTAATGATAGACACAGGAAGCATTAGCATTCCTGGTGGCAGAAGGCGGGTGCCCAGCGGTCGCCCTGGTGTCTCTTCCCAGGACTCAGAGAAGTCTGCGGTCCCCAGTGCTTGGCCGCACATCTGACCTCATTGGTCTTCACAGCTGCAGGTGAACACAGAGGGATGATTAGCATCTCCGGTTTGCAAGAGACAGGGTGTGGTCTGCCTGAGGTCACAGAGTCAGTGGTGCGTCTTTCCTGCTTCATCTTAAATGCTGTCAGGTGTGGCCATGGCTTTCAGGACCGAGGTGTGAGTTTAGTGAGAGTGCGTATGTGTTCGAGCTGTGTTTTGAGGGAGCAGTGGGCAGAGATGCATAAGCTGCACTGAGATGCAAGTTGACCCAGCTTCTCATTCACTGGGCAAATGTTTGCTTAGTCCCTTTCCTGGCCAGGCCCTGGGCCAGGGGCTGGGGGCGCAAAGGTAGAAGCGGCTGTGTCCTTGCCCTTGAGTCGCTCACAGATGGACAGTGGGGACAGAACCTCTGGGGGCAGGGGTGCTGGCACAGGTGGAGCCCTGGGCTGGCAGGGTGGAGGAGTGGTGGTGGAGGGAGGGAAGCAGGCCAGCCCCACGGAGGATTTAAGCTGCAGAGACTGAGAGAGTGGAGGGGCGCTGGTGCGGCGTCCGTGGCAAGGGACAAGTGTGCCCGGATGGACAGCCGGGTCTGCAGGGCCCGGCACGTTCTGTGAGGCTGGGGCCCAGGGAGGGACGGCATGGGTAGATGGCCAGTGTGTCCCCAAGCAGGTGTTCCTGGGAGGGATGCACAGACAGGGTCCATGACGTTGACGGCAGTAGTAACCGTAGCTGTTACTCATAGGGCATGCTCTGAATGCCAGGCCCTGTGACTCGAGGTTCACAGTCTCATTTCATACCCCCGGCAACCTTATAAAGGTAGGAGCTTTTGTAGGTGAAGGAACTCGCCCAAAGTCTCAGTGAGTAGAAGACCAAGGATATGAACCTGACAGGCTGGCCCAGCTCATCCCCTCTGTGCTGTGTTGTGTGAGGTCTTGACCGTGTCCTTCCTGAAGGAGCCTGGGAAAAGCATGGGAAGGAGGGATGGGTTGAGGGGAGGGAGAGACAGATCTCATGAAAGGGGCTTCAGGAGGGGGAGGTGTGACCACATGGTGACCTTGTCTGCCGGTCCATCTCCTTGCAGCCCCGGTGGGTGCCCGGCCCGCTCTCCACCCTCTGGCTCCCAGGGCCTGCTGGAGGAGGTGCTGGCCATCAGCAGCTCCAAGGCAGTGGCCCGGAGGGAGTCCGCAGCTTCGGGCCTGAGGAGCCTGTTGGAAGAGGAAGGAACCCTGGCAGGGGATGACCAAGGGGAGCCCCCAGAGCCCAGCAGGGACCTCGTGTCCTCCTGGAGGCCCCAGCCTGATGGTGAAGCCAGCCGGACAGAAGAGGTGGACGGCACCTGGGGCCCTGCGGGGGCCGGGCGGGGCGACCAGGGCGCAACGCGCCCTCCTCGGCGGCCCCCCCAAGGGCCTCCCCCCAGCTCCCCCAGCCAAGACTTCTCCTTCATCGAGGTCAGTGGAGGGTGAGCCCAGGCCAGCGAGTAGACTGTTGTGGGGGGTGAGGGTGGTGGAGCCAGAGCCTGGCCCCTGGGACTCCCCAGCTGCTCCGAGCTCTGTGGTCTCAATCCAGGAGGCAGAAAGTGGGCGAGGGGTGAGTTGGATGAACAGGGGCTCCTGGCTACAGGAGGGATCCGCTCACAGCCAGGTGCTTTTGAGAGGTTCCCGTGTGATGGGGCAGCACCATGGGACGGTGATGGCAGTGGTGTTGCCTTTGTCTTGAGCAGGACACTGAGGTCCTCGACAGTGCCATGTATCGGAGCCGTGCCAACCTGGGGCGCAAGCGTGGGCACCGGGCCCCGGCCATCCGGCCAGGTGGTACCCTGGGCCTGTCGGAGGCGGCAGACTCTGAGGCACGCCTCTTCCAGGACTCCACAGGTAGGGCCAATGTGGTGTCCGCTGTCTCTGTTGGTGTCTGGGGCTGTGCCGGGAGGTGGAGGTGTGGGGTGGGCTGCCGGTGCTGAGCCCTCTCTGGGCCCTTGCAGAGCCACGAGCTTCTCGGGTGCCGTCTTCCGATGAGGAGGTGGTGGAGGAGCCTCAGAACCGCCGGACACGGATGTCCTTAGGCACCAAGGGGCTGAAAGTCAACATCTTTCCCGGCCTGAGCCCATCAGCTCTGAAGGTACCATCTGATTAGTCAGCAAACACATCCAACCACCCGGCCAGCTGGACACCTTGCATCCAGCCTTCTCCCCATCATCTGTTCATTTCCCCACCCCTCCTGCCCATTTTTATTCTCACTCTGCTCTCCAGTGAGGGCCTGCTGCACCCTATGCTGTGTGCTGATCGTGATGGAAGGAGGATCGAGGCTGTTCTACGTCCCAGAACCTCACGGGTGGTGGGGGACAAAGCCTTGTCTGTAGTTAGATGTGGCAAAGGGAGAAGTTGAGGGCTCATGGGAAGGGCTGGGCCTGTTCGGAGAGAGAGAAGTTGCTTTATGATCGGGGGAAGCCTCATGCTGCACGTGCCCATGCTCTGAGGCATGCACAGGAGTTGGCTGCAGAGGCCGAGGTGGTGGGAGGCCTTTCAGGCAGGGGAAGGAGAAGCAAAGGCTCAGGCCTGAATGCAGTTCAACAGTATAGCACCTCTTCCAGGGGCTGCCGTGTGTGAGGCAGTGCTCAGCTCTCAGGACCTTTGTCGTTAAGTGCCTTCCTGTCCATCTGGGTGAAAGGACTGCAGAGGCGTTTGGGCCTGACTGGGGACTGCATGCCCTTTCTGTGAGTCCTCCCGCCCGTCCCTCTGACACCTCTGTGTACCTGGACTTGTCTGTCAGGCCAAACTGCGCCCCCGGAACCGTTCAGCCGAGGAGGGGGAGCCGGTGGACAGCAAGGCGAGCCAGAAGGAGTCTGTGGTCCAGCGGTCCAAGTCCTGCAAGGTCCCAGGGCTGGGGAAGCCCCTCGCGTTACCTCCCAAGCCAGAGAAATCCTCAGGGTGGGTGACGTGAACTCAGGGCGTTGACTAACCTCAGTGTCTTGGCCTAAAAAGGGAAACCTCGCTTTATGTAGAGGAACACCAAAGCTCGGGGAGGAGGTCGACATGCCCCGAAGTAACTGTGTTGAGCTGGTGGCAGGGTTCCTGTCTTGGAAGCCAGGCCCTGGGCTCCGTCCGGGGGTGGGGGTGGGGGTTCTATTGGTGCCACTCCTCATTTTGTTCCGCCTTCCTCAGGTTTGCTTTGTGACCTTGCCCTCTGTCTTATAGGTCAGAAGGATCGTCACCCAATTGGCTACAAGCCCTGAAGCTGAAGAAGAAGAAGGTCTAAGAAGTCACTGAGGTGAGGGCAGGGCCCTGGGCTTGGGGAGTGGGGTCCAGGGATGAGCAAGGCATGCCCTGGAGGATGCAGGAGGCCCCTACCTTCCCTCCTCACCCACCTCTCTCTGACGGCCTGGAAGCAGGCAGGTGGAGCCAAGCTACAGAGACTTGGTGTGTCCCTGGACTTTCCCTCAGTTTTGCCCACAGAACGGGGTGGTGTTGTCTGGCCTTTGATGGACTGGGAGGGCTTCTATCCCAGCCTTCTTCCCTGGGCTCAAGGATGGTCCCCAGGCCGTGTGGCTGGCCTGAGTGTGCTCCAGCAGCCCTTCTGGCCTGGGGCCTCTGGGGCAACTCACCAGGAACCTTCCTTACAATAGGGCTCAGTTTGGGGAGCCAGGATGGGCACAGGGGAAGGAAGCTGGGAGCACCTCCTCTGTCCCCCGCGGTCCACTCCCCTGAGCTCTTCTCTCCTTCCCGGTGCAGGTCCTTCCCATCTGGCAGTCTCAGGCAGTGCCCGTTCCTGTGGGGTCCCCGGCAAGGAGATGGCTGGAGTTCCCCATGTCCCAGGCTGCAGCCTCTGCTCCCCTACACCTCGGAGGAGTGTCTGGGGAGGCACACTTATGCACTTTGTATCACCCTCCCAACTTCCCCTACACCTTCTCTTCCTGCCTGGATTCCAGCCTGGATTCTGTCGATAGTGGTCCAGGGTTCTGGTCCTTCCTCTGTGCACACTCTGCCCGCCTCCCTCCTGCTTCCTCCTCCAGCCTACCTTGGGTTTTCTTTTGATACCAATTTATAGCATTTTTTATAAAAGCCTTTGATTTTTGTAATGGGTGGAGCCCAGCCCACCCCAGGTCTCCTTCCACCCTGCCAGGTGCCCCACAGAGACCAATAACATTTTGCCACTTGAAACAATAAAGTTTTTTGGGAATTGGTGTTGCCCAGTTGTGGTGTGTGGTCATCACGCCCTGTCCCCCTGTCCAAGGCCGTTCTGGGGAACGCCAGTTCCAGCCCTGACCTGCCAGGAACTCACTCTGCTGTTGAATGTGTTATTACCCTCGTGCTCCTGGGCTTAGGGTCCCTGAGGAAGGTGTATTGGTTCTAATAGGCGGATTGCTGATTTGAGCAACCCCGAAACCTCAGGAGCTTAACACAAAGCTTTATTTTTCTATAAATAAAGCTCTCGGTCCACGTGGGTTGGTGGTGGGGACACTCTGTGCCTTGAAGTCATTCAGAGCCCAGGCTCCTTCCCTGTTGTGGCTCAGCCACCTGCAGAGGCCTTTGAGTCCTCCACAGCGTCACAGGGAGAGGGGAGCAGGATGTGGGAGACCCACACCCCACTGGCCAGGATTTAGTTCATGGCCCCTGCTCACTTCAGGGGAGACTAGAAAACCTGGGTTAGTTGTGTGGTCACAGAGAGAGAAAACTGGGTATTGGTGAAAATGCACCCTTCTTACCAGCAGGTTGGTTTCTGTAAAGGGTCCTTTTGGCCTTTCATCCCATGCATTCTGGGATGTCTCCTGGGTTCTGGCCTTGCCCACTCCAGCCCCTGTCCCCCAGCCTAGCTCTCTGTCATCCTGGGTTTCCCAGACTTGCCCCAAGGTTTGCTATAAGGAGAGGCTCCTGTGGACTTGCCTTGATGGACCTAACAGAGTCACTGAATTCAGACTACAGCTGCATTTAGAAGTCACCTCAGTGACCGGAACTACTTTGGTTATTTTGTGGAGCATGGGAGCCATCAACTTAATTTGACAATTTGACTAAAGCTATGGACTCACTAGAAAAACACGTGTGTGTGGGGTTTCACAACCTAGCCGGGAATTCCCATCACTTTCTAGAGCGGCGGTTCCCGGCCTTCCCTGAGCATCAGTTTCCTGGGTTCACAGCCTTCTGGTATTTCCATGTGGTAGGTGGTGCTGAGGAATCAGCATTTTGGGAATGCCGTAGAAGTGGAGAGGATAGAAAGTCGGGGCGTCAGATGGGTGCCTGGCCTCACCCCTGGGTGGTTCTGCTGCACAGCCCCGGTGCCAGCTCCCCCAGGGCCCGGCACAGCCCAGCTGGTGTGAGCTTTGTCCTAGTCTCGCCCCTCCCCCTCAGGGGGCAGGACTGGCAGAAACCCAGGCCAGACACTTAAGGCTCATTTGTGGGGCAAGTGGAGCCTGGGCTGGTCCCAGTGCCTGGGCTCTGCTGGGAGGGAGAAGGGTCAGGGGCCCGCTTCCAGGGAAGGCAGAGCCAGACCAGGTGAGTGGGTGGGGGTGTCCCATACTCCTCCTGCCTGAGGAATTGGTCAGGGCCTTGGGTGGGAGGCAGGGGGAGAGAGCAATTCACAGGAGCTTTGGTCGTGAGGGCAGGTGTCTGAGAGCAACCGCAGTTGGGAAAGTCGTGTGATTCTTACCGGGCAGCCATTCCTCAGACTGTGCCTGGGGCTCTTGGGAGTGGCCTCAGAGGGGCAGGTTTTGGTCTTTTGAACCTGGATTTGGATTTGGGGGACAGCAGAAATTCTCCTGGATGCCTGTATTGGGGAATACTTGGGGCAGCCAAGCAGGCTGATCAGTTTTGGTCAAAGGTGGCTCTGAAAGCCTTTTCTGAAGAGTTGGATGAGCTCAGGAAGAGTGATTAGAATAAGTGCACAAACCACTGGGAAGGCAACAAGTCAGCGTGCTCATAAAGGAGCTAAACCCTTTCTGTATGCGTTAGAGAGCTGAGCAGTCCCCAGGATTTTTGTTGAAAATTCTCAGGGAATCTGGTCCCAATCCAAATGCAGTTAGAAACAACTTGACACGGCCTCTCCCCTATTCCTTGCTTCTGATGCCCTCTCCAGGAGCTTGTTCATGTATGAATTGGATATCAGACCACGGAGGAAGCCCTGGAAACTGAACAGGTAGGGGCCCACAGAGCAGGTGCCCAGAGCAGGCCCACATCCCCTGTGACCTCAAGCTGGAACTGGTGGGTTGAGCCTGACGAGCTGGCTTGGCCCATGGCCCTTGGGATTCCGAAGGGGGTGGCAGGTAGTGGGGGAAGTCTGATGGTTTGCTGCCCACCGTTAGCATATCCTTCCTCCGGTGTCCTGTCCCCAAAGGTGGTCCAGCCATCTGCCAAGGTCACAGCCCATCCCCGAAAGGCTTAGAGACTGGCAGTTCTGGTGTAGGAGTGAGCAGATCAGTTTATATTTTGCTTTTGATCTCAGGGACCCTGTTGTCCGAGCCTCCCCTTTAAAAGAGGTGCAGTAAGAGGGTGCAGTAGTGCCCACTTACCACAGGGGGTGCTGTTGTTGCAAGGCTCTCAGCAAATGCCTGACACTGTGGGTCGTGCTCACCTGTGTGTGTATGTGTATATGTGTATGTGTGTATGTGTGTATGTGTGTATGTGTGTATGTGTATGTGCGCATACACACTTTTTTCCCTATATGTACATACCTGTGAAAAAGTTTAATTTATAAATTAGGACAGTATGAGATTAATAACAGTAACAACAAAGTAAAACAATTATAACGATACACTATGATACAAAGTTACGTGCATGTAGTTGGTCTAGAAAAATATTACTGTGCTTTATACTCACCTTTTCACCCGAAGGAAGCATTTAGGGCTTTTCCCTGGCAAATCCAACTGGCCCGCATCCCTACTCTTGCACGTTGGGGCCGTTATTAAGTAAAATCAGGGTGACTGGCACACAGGCAGTGCAACACCGGGACCTTCCATGTGATACTCGAGATGGCAGCATCTGTGGCCGGAGACCCCGGATAAAGGGCCGATTACGTTGCCAGTGGGGCGGAGCAAGGTGGTGCCAGACTCCATCATGCTACTCAGAACAGCGCACTATTTAAAGCTTATACATTGTTTATTTTTGGAGTTTTCCATTTACTATTTTCAGAGTGTGGTGGACCCTGGGTGTCTGAAACCGTGGAAAGTGGGACTTCGGATGAGGGGGGGCTACTGTATCTGCTTCACAGCACTGTTGGAGGGCTAAGTGGTGGTGGATGACCTTGCCTGGGACCAAGCTGGCGATCGCTCCTGACTGGTCCGGTCTTGTCTTTCTTTGTGCGGTGGGAACAGAGGACCACGTTTGGTTTTCTTGACTCTGGAGCAGGCAACAATGGCCTGGAAGCTGTTGAACAGGATTTTCTAGGGGCTCCTTTGCCTGAGGGCCTCCCTGAGTCAGCAGTGTCTCCTCACCGGGACCGGCCCTCTGGCCCTGCAGCTGCAGCCCTGCCCTGCCAGCAAGGGCCCAGCACAGCCGGGAAAAGAGCTGGCAGGTTTCGGAGGCTCACCACCCACCCCTGGGCGGGTGCCAGGCCCTGGTGGCGGGGGCCTCCTGGGAGCAGAATGATAAAGTGGGTTGTAATCGCCGCCCAAGGACCGACTCTAATTATACTTTTATTTGTATAGCACTCTGTCTCCAAAGGGCCAGACGCTCATTCATTCACTTATGTTTTTTTAAAACAAAGTTTGTTGAATTTCTTTCTGATAACAAAAGCAAAACATATTCATGCTAGGCCACTTAGAAAACACAGGGAAGTAAAATTAAGAAAAGAAATCGCCTAGAACACCACTGTTCCGATACACTGTAACATTTTTTTTTTAAAGAATACTTTTTATTTTAGAAGAGATTTAGATTTAGAGAAAAGTTGCAAAAATAGTATGACGGTTCCCCTGAGCCCACACCTGTGAATGTGACTCTCAAACATTAGTATGGTTCCCGGTCACAACTCATGAGCAATATTGATACGCTGATATTAATTACAGTCCATTCTTTAGTCACATTCCTTACTTTTTTCCCCTTCTCCCTAACATTCCTCTTCTTGCTAGGATCCCACCCAGGATCCCACATTATGTAGGTATCATGCCCCCTCGGCTCCTCCAGACCAGGACAGTGTCTCAGGCCTTCCTTATTTCTGGTGACTTTGACAGTCTGGAAGAGGGCTGATCACATACTTTGTAGAATGCCCTTCAGTTTGAGTTGGATATTTTCCTCGTGACTGGGGAGGGGTTCTAGGTTTTCAGGTAGCAGAATCAAAGTGCCGTTCTTGTACCAAAGGTGCGTACTATCAGTACGACTTCTCCCTGTTGGTTTTGACCTTGGCCGAAGGAGTGTGTCTGTCAAGTTGCACTTGGCCCTTTCCATACTGGACTCTTGGCAAGGAAGTCACTGACTCTGGCATTTTCACGCACTTGCTCCCAGTTTCAGCCATTCCCCTTCTCCCCCCAAACAAAACAGCATCCATGAGCACTTGTCAATTCCTGGTCCCTGTTGATCTTGCTAGGAACCGGGTTTTAGCCTCGTTGAAATTTTCAGTTTCTTAATTTCCAAAGACTTCAGCACATAGGTACATATCACCATTTTAACTGAGTCTGTGCCTTGGTTTCATCGGTCAGGACAGAGTTAGCAAGCAGTTATTCCGCCCCTGCACCACGCTAAGTGCTTCCGGCGCCTTATTAATCCGCACACGACCAAGGATAGAGACGCTGCTGCTCTCCTTGTGACATGGATGAGAAAACTGTGATTTGTGCAAGTGAAGAGTTGCCCAGAGTCACACAGCTTGCGAGTGGCAGGGCTGGAACTCCAGCCTTGGTCTGTGACCCCAGAGCTTGGTCGTAAACCATGCTTACAGGACCAGGGAACAGTGGTCACAGAGAAGGGAGGCTTAGCATGGAAGTTCAGAGGTTTGAATCAGCCCTTCCATTTATGAGCTGTGTGGCCTTGGGTAAGCCACAGCTCTGGGCCTTAGTTTTACCTGTTCAGTGGGGACAGTAACATTACCTTCCTCATAGGGCTGTTGTGAAGATTAAATTACTTACAGCGAGGCTTGGCTCAGGGTAGGCTGTCAGTGAGGGTTTATCCTTATTGTTCTGTCTGTGCTATTTCTCACTTTCCCATCCACCCACCCATCCAGGAATGGCATTGCCCACTCTGGGCCTCAGTTTGCCCACCCACAGATGG